AAAAAAAAAAAAAAAAAAAAAAAAATAAATAAAAACGCTAATGAAGCCGTGGTGTTCTGTAACCTTGTAATCCTATTTTCCCTATGTTTTTTTTTTTCCTTTTCAGCCCTATTCTTGAAATATAAATTCTCCTTTCTAATGGTCACAGATTTTGTTCGGCGTTTGTCCAGAGAGATTGATTCTTGATGTAGGCAATACCGTCCTGTTGATGATTTGCTTTATTTTCGTGTCAGTGACCTGCTTGACGTATTTCAAATTGAAGTGTTATGTAGTGTACTGTGCTATCCTTTGATATTTCTCTTCACTTTTCTTATGAGATATTACCTTAGTGAACTTCATATTTCCGACATGTGAAATATTAGCTCAGCAAACAATCATTTAAGTATGATATCAAACGTAATATCTTCCACATGCATATTTGCATATGCATGCAAATAAGAACGCTGTGTTTCGATTACGGATGAAGGAGAGGCTCAATATCGCTTTTTTAGCCCAAGGGCTCACGTCTACTAAATAAAATTTCACTGATGACCATAGAGTATTGCTAAGAAAAACTTGAAGTTATCAGTCACTTGCTATTTGGAGTCTGGAAACTTGATTATGTCGAGTGTCGAGACTTGAGAACAATGTCGCTTGAGCAGTCTCTCAAGGAGTAAATTGAACAAAAGTACCGCGCTCGCTAATACTGAACTCTGAAAAATTGCATTCAATTCTAGGGGAGGGGGGAGGGGGATACTATCTTACAAGGGATGTAAAAGATTTTCGTCTGAAAAAGGGTATGCTTTTCCCTCTGATTTGGCAATGGGTATTTTGTTTACAATAATAAAAAAAAAATCCAGCATCAACATTAGCAAATTTGCTGTCCTTCTAAATTTTTACGAAATGTAAACCATTTCTAGGTTGCCTGCGATCATATAGGAGGGCTGCGTACTAATTTTAGAGGTCTGAAATGGGGTGAAGATTTTTGGCTCAGGTCTGAAATCACAGATTTTGATCTGAAATAGAGTACGGGTTTCAAAGTTCGAGCCCCCACCAAAAACTTCTAGGAGAAACCCCCGCTCCCCATTCCAACAAGTCAAAGCTGGCTGCGATACTCGCGAACAATTGTTTCGCTTACTCACTCTTTAACAATCATTCTAATAAGTAAATTAAATAGGGCATCTCTTTCCTTCAGGCTCTCATTGGTTTGTGTTGTTCATTTCTCGACAATTCATACAATGTCACTGACATGATATTTCATGCAATACAATAATACAACACAATGAAATACAGTACAATACAGTATTTTATTTAACGTGGAACATGCGCTTAGCTATATGGTTTAGTTTAAAAAAATCTTCGCCAGCTACTTTACGGATATGTCACAAAAATAAATAAATAAATGAGTGAATGAATGAATAAATAAATAAATAAATA